CATATTGCACAACCATTCAAAAGCACTGCGAAGTGATTCAGAGGACATGTCATGTCGTGAACCTTGATCCAGCTGCTGAATTCTTCGAATACTCACCTATCGCTGACCTTCGTGATCTCATTCAGGTAATTACGCCCGCGTAGAACTCCATAGTTTTAGGTGGACGATACAATGCAAGATGACACACTGCACCTCGGTCCCAACGGAGGTCTCATATTTTGCATGGAGTATCTTTGTCAAAATCTTGACTGGCTAGATGAAGCCATAGGGGACGAGGAGTCAGATTATATACTGTTTGATTGTCCCGGTCAGATTGAACTCTATTCCCACCTTCCTATCATCCCACGTCTGATTGAACATCTGCAAAGAAGATGGGACTTCCATGTTGCGAGTGTCTTCATCCTGGATGCGCGTTTTCTAGTCGATGGCTCACACTTTCTGTCAGGTATTCTCTCTGCTCTTTCGGCGATGATATGTCTCGGAACACCACACGTCAATGTGATGTCTAAGCTGGACATGCTGTCCGAAAGCAAGCAGCGTCTCGTCCTTGCGCGTTATCTGGAACCTAACATGGACGAGTTGTGTGAATCCGAAGATGAAGAGGAGGGGAAGGGAGACCCTAAAACCGACGATGTTTCAGTGACTGATACCTCGCGAAAGCCTCGCACCCGAAAATTTGCGAAGCTGACAAGTATGCTAGCAGGTGTAATTGAGCAGTACAGTCTCGTTCACTTCCTGCCTCTCAATCGTGACAAGGAGGATACTATAGAAGATCTTCTTTTCCAGATCGACCAGTGCCTGCAGTACGGAGAGGACATTGAGCCCCGAAATCGTTATTTTGATGAGGCTGAAGTTGAGTTAGCGGGTGAAATGTCGGCTGATGAGAGTGATCGCTGCTCCGGATGAGTAGCTCCTTATTACAGTACTGTTGTAAAATAAAATGTACATTGCTCCTTCTTTTGGCTTTTTGCATTTGCTTGTCTTTCTTAAATGTAATCGCGTGCATACTGTATCCCTTTTCCTAGTGCCAGCTGCCCAAGGCACTAATATTTCGCCCGACAGGGGCACTTTTCCCTCTGGTTTTGATTTTGTGTGGATCTATTTTTCTATACCTGCTGGAGTTGGCCGTTAAGACATGCCAGTCAGTTCTTATGATTCATAACACCAGGGTTACACGGGCGCTCATGCTAGGCATTGAAACCATTGCTCACGCCACTACAGGTGCTGTCTTTTGGCTAATTTGTGTTCCCTACTCGCCGCCCCCACGACTACTTTATATTTTGGAGTCAATTCTGGCCGCCTGTGTATTTGCAGTATCAGTGGATCTGGACCATTTCATCGCCGCCGGTAGTTTTTCAATCGATGTAAGTCTTCCCTATTATTCAACCTATCTCTTGATCAGCGAATACTGAATAACACTATTATCTAAAGCAGTTCTCTCAAGTCTTGTCCTACCGCCTTGGGCAATGCCTTGGTAAAGGAGCCCGCCATCTGGCATCTGCTATTCATCCAACTATAGTGCATTAGCAACTATGATAAAAGTCGTAAAGAAGCTGTAACCCTCAGTATATTCCTAGAAACACATCACTATCATCGAATAGCAGCAGGTTGACGGTCTACTGACTGTCAACTACCAGTGCGCGCGTACGCTACTTTTTTAGACTACAGTATCGTGTTTAATTAGGCATTTAACGGCAGCAACTTCTGTAACAACCGGTCACTCACCTATATTGTGTGATTCATACTTAAAGTCAGTCGGTTAAATACCTAGTGTATGGCTGAGGTTGCTCCTAAAACGGACTACGTGGTAGATGTGCTGAACCAACCTGGGGGCCAGATCAGGGCACTCCTGGCGTTTTTAGGGATGCGTACCCATAACTAATGTTACACATGAAGGAAGAAGGGGTATCGTTACGACTGAGCAAAGGCTCACTCTACATTGGCCACCTGCGCCTGATCCCGCCTCCGGTCTTATTACCTCTGCCTCGACATTGAGTCCAAGAGTTTGAGGGGAAGCCAGTGCAGCAGGTACTGCAAAAGTCCATAATCGTAAACTAATTCTCTCATAAGTCACTGTCTCTATCCCACGATGTTGTGGGGCACACTATGGACATAGTCGGAATCGACGGCCGAACTGTCAAATGCTTGAAGACGACACAGTCTGTCAAGTCCTATTATCGGGGTTATAATAGATTCGTTAAAAAGATGGCTGCACAAAGCAAGCATAAATTAAAACTGGGCATTAAAGTACGGGGTCGTGATCGATTCTCAAGTTTCCAAGCCCTCGAGAAAAATACCCTGGTGCACCCGTAGCCTCTAAGAACTTCACTAATGTATCAAGAATGGTAGTTTTTTTGGAGTGTGCTTCATTGGTCTGAGAGTATATGAGTATCCTAATTCAGAAGACCAAATTAATTGATTGGGATTTGTTGAAAGTCAATGAAATGCTGAATACTTTGTCTACAATAAACCATAATATATAAACACGTGGTCTATCTTTCTCACTACAGTTTGAAAATGGCGTATCGTGGCATGATTAGTAAAAGTGGCTTATTCTATCACTTATTGATCGAACCGAGTCATGTATTGGATAACAGGTATTACGAAGTATCAGAAACGGGTTTCTGCTACTATCTTCTTCTCATTCCTCCGATTAAGTATCACTCCTCTATCTGAGTTAGCTTTCATGACGTGTGCATTCCATATTGGGGAAAAATTCAGTGCAATCATTGACCTTTTCCCGTAAACTTTCTGATTTGGGATGAATAAGTCATAATTCGTCGCAGCCGTCGGCCGCTGTTATTCAGACGCAACTAATAGCTTCAGTTTGTTGGAATTTAATGATCTTCATTCGTCTCCGATGTAAAACATTAAAGCCGAAACAAACATTTGACATTATCTCCATTAGAAGGGCCTTTTCGCTTACCCAGCGTTCTTTAAAGTGAAGGCTAAAGGTTAGCTCGATGGTATTAATGTTTTTCAAATGTTTCAGTAACTGATCGGCTCGAACTCTAGCCACATAATTTTATTGATTTGCTCAGTCGCCAGCTCCGGCTGTTTCCAGGTGTGCCTCTACTAAAAGTTTTCGGGAAGTGCCCCTCAGAATTAACACTATGGTCGATAATCTTGCGTCCCAGAAAAAACGGCTTCAGTAGATACAAACTCCCAATTGAATTCAGTAAAATTGTTCCGATGTTTTACTCAATTGAATTAGAGTTTTGCCTCCATTTATTAGAGTCTAGCAAGTGCCTAACAGTACTCAAGGGGTTCTGTGCATTTTTTCAGAAGTGGAGGCAACTTTTACCATCATTGGCTTGGTCTACGTTCTCTCGACGATGTTCCCCAGCATCCTAAAGAATCGTTTCGACTTGAAGGCGAGAAGAAAGTAGACGTTATTTTGCCGAAGCAGAAGCCGTGTCCATCTAAACGGTGTACTTTCTAGTTAAAGCCGATTATTTCCTGAATACCTCTACAACGCAGGACTTAGTCGTCAGAAGTTTTCTCTGACAGACAGAGGTTATGTCTGCGACGTTCATAGGCGTGACGCAAGTGCATTCAAACTTACATAATTAGTCATTCTTGCATCCGCCGAAAGGAGTGGATAATGCAAGAAAAAAGTACTGATAAATACTCCTGCACGTTAGTAATACTAAGATTCGATACAATCCGATACCGGACTCAGATTTGGACGTTCCTCTCAAAATCGTCCACATTTTCGGCTGCCAAACATGGTTTACGCTTGCCGAAAATTCATAACTTGAAAACACGGTGGACTCAGGTTAGTCGGACCGCCGATCATTTCGGTCAAACGTTAAAGACCAGTAGTAGTGGGTATATATTACGTCGAATTTACTTCACTTTTTCGGGCCATCACTGCTCGAATCAATAATCGTTCGTAGTCTAAATTTATGAGGACAATGCCAAACAGGATAAGAGTTTCAAACAAACAAGGAGATACTCTGTTGGCCGGATGTTCATTTACTTTGTCACTAGTTTTCATCTGGTTTGATGATTCCCGAAAATAAGCAAACGCCACAGCGTGATGTCTTTGACGTCGTTGCGCTATCCAGCGGGACAGTCTTGCAACTGGAGGTGGTCATAACAGGGGCAACAGTTTTGTCAACGGACGCTTTTGGGGGACCGAGAGCAGCTTTGGGGCGTACTTTATGTTCCTTGATTGACTCACTGGAAGGTCGGTTGATCTGGGTTGCACACAGTATAGAGGGAAGATTTAAGACTAGCTGGTCTCCTAGATGACGCAGGAAACCAATGGTCCCACTGAAGTGATCGTCAGTTGACAGAGAGATCATATTTGTTAAGGAGAAAATCAGACATGGTCCTACAATGTGAGGAAATGCCAGACGCACATAAGCGTATGCAGAAAGCTAGGAAAAGTCCAGAACACGGAAATGATTAAGGCTCAGACGCTGAAAAACTGGTTCAGTGCAACTTCGGATAACGATTCCCACCATTTAATTGGGCCAAATCGCCTTAGTTCAGCATGAACCGAGTAACCGGATTCCGATGCACTTGGTAAATAGGATCTACAACAAACAATGTGACCGCTGTCGATATATCGTGTTTGAAAGCGCAACTGCCTTACAGATCGAAATGTCTGCTGGTGAAGCAGTGCTAGATCACTCCTTCAGATGAATCCGTACTGCATACAATATACTGTCTACAGTCATGTCGCCCAAACCCTTATCAAAATGGTACCGTAACCTTGATATTTACGTAGAGTTAAACAAGTAGATGTATCAAGGACAATCTTAAAGAAGATGCGAACCGCTGATGAGATGATAGTAAAAAACTTTGCTGCGGATCTGGTCTTGCATTACACAACGAAGGTCGCATTGCTGTGGATTCTAGTGCTGACTAAAATTACTGCTGATGGTTGAAATGATTAAAAGTTAGTAAACTTGCTGCTAACCCCCCTAAATAATTGTCTATGTTGTCTGAGTACTGCATCAACGTGTGCCGCGGACATTTACGTCTAAGTACCTCAATGAATTTTAAGTAAAATTTAAAGTATCCTTTCGAAGGCTAGCAAACATGCTCGAAATCGCTCGCGAAAAACTGGATTGAATTTCTTGTAGCCGCTTCATGCAGCAGCAGAAAAGTGGGCGAAACACGTGCCCTGGCCTTAATCTAATCCCGTTTCTGGCTATGATGAAACGACTTCTGTCCGTATATATATGTGTGTGTGTGTGCTTGTTTACACCTATTTAGGCTGCTCGAAATCTGCGCGGCCGGCCGTTTCTCCACTGGTTCGGAGGACTGCTGCTCTCCGTAGTTATTCTGCTGGGTTTAACTGGTCTCCGGATTACGAAGTATCTGAATTTTGGAGGGCTGGTGGTTGACTGCCTGCAGGCGTCTGGTTGGATCGGCATCGTGGCATGGACGTCTCACCAGTTGCGGGATGCTCTTCGTCTCGGTCTTTGGCTATGGCCACCACCTGACCCCCACGAATGGGTTCTCACTTGTCCATACGAAAAGGCTGTCGCCACACGCCCGCTTCCACTTCTCTTATCTTATCCCATTGCTCTTCTTTGTTGTTCGTTATTGGTAAAAGCAATCTGTCCTCTTAACTCTTGGTCTGCCGCCTCTTTTGCCCCTATTTCATGTATGATAAATTCTACTCGTGTTAGTAAGTGGGAAGACCCGAATATCGTCTAAAAATAAATCACAATTATTACTGCCTTCTCCTTTTGCTTTCTGCTCATGCGTGAGTTATTTTCAACAATACATCCTACTTCCGCTTAACTAGTAGATGATATAGAGTGATTCGTCAAACCAATCAAATGATCACAGATGTTTCGTTTTAGCATCCGTAGTTATTGCAGTGCCAGCGTTCTAAGTTCCCGCTCTTCAGATTCACCTTAGCGGATGTGAAGGTTCGTGAAATAGTGACTGAGATCCTTCAGTCTCTATTCAACTAAGACGGAGGAAATGACTCAAGTTGGGTTTTAATATGGACAAGAAATGAATGGGATCTTAGGAGAACTCGTGCAAAGCTG